TTATATCTTTATGTTTGAAGCCTGAAATGTGGCAAAAGGTTGAAAAGTTCAAGGGGGCCGAATACTTTCGCAAGGCACTGTATATCCGAGCTCGGGAGGGACTTAGACCCGATCGCTGTAGCTGGGCGACTCTGTAGGCAGCCTTTATAACTGACACGTACTGTAGCTTCTCTTTACTCGTTCTCTAACCAGTTTCGGTTTCCGTGCAAATCCCTCCCACATGTAATTAGTTGTGTTTCTTCCACCGCGGTAGTCAGATGAGGGAACAGAAACTACGAATACGAATAATTAATACGAACTCCATGGGACTATAGGATAGTAGCATAGTAGCTTTGAAACTACTTTGAGACTGACAGAATGAGTTTCTCTCTTTTAAAAAGCTGGCTCCTTACAGTCGTCTCTACAGGTTGGGTATTTGATCTTTCTCTTCATTTTCAATATTTATTTGTGCTGTTCCACAATTTCAAGAAACCGACTCTTCTCTTCTTTTGCGATTAATACATACAACTGGTGTTATGACTTAAAGAATTAAAACAGGATTTATAAAGATAAAGGAACGATGTTGTTTTATTAACAAGTAATGAGGGTAACAGAAGAAACGAATTCTAAGCGATATCGAAGAACGTTTATGAACATTATTATTATTGTTGTTGTTGTAATTATTTTGTGAGATAGAAGTAGCTGTTTTTTTCTTAAATGCAATATTGTATTTTCCGTGGTGTGCGGAAAGTGTTAAGTTAATATTGTGTCAAATTTATTGTATGATCATACTTATAGCATTTATAGGAAACCAGTTCAGCTGATTTCGGGGAAATTTTGTACTGAATGCCGTCATATATGCAAATTTACTAATGGCCTCTTATAATAGTGATTATTTTCTGTTCTATTAATTTTCCTTAAAGCGTGTAGCCCTTTGTGATATCTTAATATATAGAGATGCATTACAAACCCAACAAGTGCTATTTGTAATCCAATTACAAATAATTAATTGCGTTTAAATGCCTCTCAAAATGTATAAAGTTTTGTGAATAAATTTAAAGATAGTGATGTGTTTACTTAGATGTATGTGTTATTTAGGTATAGAAACTGAACACAATCATATTTATGGAGATTTTTATAACTTTTATACTTTTCTTGTAGAACAGATTATTTCTAAATATGTGAAATACGTTTTTTATTTATTTTCAGAAATATCAAGAAGCGCGTATTCAGATAAATATTTTTAAAAGAACGGTACACAGTTATTAGTACACAGTAATTTTTTAATTGGTACAGCTTTTTAAATATTAGCGAGATCCGGACTTTATTGATTGAGTGTTAACCCAGCTTTTTAAATCTAGTCATTACCAGGAGATTAAAGGATGTAGGAGTCCCTGTCGCAGTCACCTTTTCAAGGTTCACAACACTGAAATGGATATTTGTTATATGGATATAAACGAGATATTTGCACATGGTGTAATAATAACAGCTCATGTAAAAAAATGGTAGTTTATTCCCCACAACGTGAGGTAGTGAATTGTTCTCCACAGGGCCATTTGTGACGGTTACAGGCATGATTAAAGATGTAGATATGTTGTGTTTAAATGTGGTCTAATCTTTCTGTTTTCAGTGGTGCTTGCGTCCTTACCTCCTCCAGCAAATGTAACTCTAAATTCAGTAAACCTGGGAGCGATACTTCAGTGGGACTATGAAGATTCCCTACCAAATGTCACCTACACTGCCAGAGTGACGTAAGTGGTTAATTGTGGGTGAACTCACACATGTTGTGGAATCTTTCTCAGAGATAATCCAGAACGAGGCTGAACGTTTTTTAAAGTGTATTTAAGAGTATTTAACAGTGAGGTTGTTTCAGAGTGCAGAAGACATCTGCTTATTACTAGATATATACCATTTGTTGTGGGCATGTTAGTGCTGACAGCACTAAGTTACCCCTACCCTAACACTGTCCTCAAGAACATGGATTTGAAAATGATTCTGAAGTCACTGGACTGTAGAGCTTAATGTGGGAGTTTTCATGCAGACAGTAGGGAAGTTTATAAGTGATGTAAGTTTTTTATCCTTAAAACTATTGTGGAGATGAAGTGAAAAACATAAAAAAAAGCTTTGGGGGATGTAACGTACTGCAACTTAACACACAATGCAAATATAGCTGTTGGAGTTTGGTTCAGCAGTTGCTATCTATATATTAGGCCTGCAGCAGCACTGTACTTTTGGCTTCACTTGGTACTGTACTTGACTGTGTCTGTTGTGTTTTTTCTGTGACATACAACTGAGTCGTTTTTACTGAGTATTCTGCTGAAGGGCTACACTGATAAACAATTGAACCAACAAACAAAGAGAACACAATACCACTGAAGAGTGAGGAAGATAGTGCTTCCTCAGTTAAAAAAGAAGAACATGATGTGGTTCTGCAGACTTACAGTATTTTTGTATCATGCAGTTCCTGTTTTTACCTATACAGTACCTTTCATGGTTTTAAAATGGGAGGTTTTCTACTGTTTCACCTGCATGTATCTCTGTTCCTCAACCTTCCAGGCTGCAGCATCTGTGATTTCAGTCCATCTGTGCTCTTAGTTAAGAAATTGAACTACAGTTGAAGCAACCCACCACTATTCGGCAAGCTAGAGGAGGCAGGGACTTACAATACAAAGAGAGCAGTGTGCCTTTGCAGGGTGAAGAACACTGGTTTGTGGTCTACATACCCCCAGTACCCTTTCCAGCAGCCTCTCCATTTATTGGCTTTGATCATAAAGTCTTTAATCCCTTGAGCAAGGAACGTGTCTGTGATTTTTCACAACCCTATGGCTGTTGGGAAGGTGGAGCTAACAAACACTAGTCCACAAATTCATAAATTTATTTAGTGGGGATAATGGGAAGAGAACTTTTGGGTTCCTGTTAAGCTCTTTACTTCCAGCATATTTTCATGAACGCTGATGGATCACAGGTAGCACAATGTGTGTCTGTGTGTAAGTGGTGATGAGGAAATCTCAGTTTTCTCCAAAGTGAATGTTAGAGCCTTCGGTATTGTGCACCTGTTGTGTGCTTATGATATTTGTAAATAAAGCTATTGTCACTGAGCAGGGCCTCTGCTGGTACTCAAGGGTTAAACATTCATCTGTGGGCTTTTAAACTAGATTGTTCAAGAGCTCTTCCATGCTTCAGGATTTGTGCAGCAGAGGTCTCATTATCCTTATTGTTATTACTAGTCCTAGTCACCCTTTACAAATGGTCACCAAAGTGCACAATATTCTTGCCATAGTTTTCCACAGTATGCTGCTTCCACAAATTTGATATATATTTTTATCACAATTTCACTGTGCTTTTGCAGCAATTGACTGCAGCTTTCTTTTAAAAAAGTTGTATTACAAATATCTGAATAAATGTTTACAAGAGATTAGAGGCCCTTCCTCATTATTTTATTACTACTGGCCAATGTATCAAAATCCAATTGTTAAAATGAATCTATGCTACTCTAAATTTGTAATGATACTGGAATTTACACAGTAAACTGATACTTAATTGCATGGCAATTGTGGTGTTAAAAAAAGCTTTAGGAGAAACAAATGGCTGAGGCTGTCATGTATCATCACATTTTGATAATGCCTGTATCATTTTTCCCAGGAATCTTTGACACACATCCTGACTAACTGCTGTAGCTAGCTGAGTGTTGCGATTTCAAAAGAGCTGTGGTAAAGAATGTTCATCCAAGAATGTGGCTTTCTTGTGGTGTATCCCCACCTAGTGGAAAAGATTGATTGACAGGATTGTTTTTCTTGCCAGTCCTAACCCCGTGTCCTCTGCGCTTCCGCATCGCTCACTTATGCTTATTGGACCCATGAGGTGTTTTTTAAACAACTTTTCCCTTTTTAACTCAGTTTCAAAATAAGTAAGCCAGCAGCCATATCATTCTGCAACTCACATCTGGCAAACCACTGATGCTTGGAAGGTGTGGGCCTGGTCAGTACCTGGAAGGGGGACCTCCTGGGAAAAACTAAGGTTGTTGTTGGAAGAGGTATTAGAGGGGCCAGTAGGGGGCGCTCACCCTGCGTCTGTCTGGGTCCAAATGCCCCAGTATAGTGATGGGGACACTATACTGTAAAAAGGCGCTGTCCTTCGTATGAAATGTAAAACAGAGGTCCTGACTCTCTGTGATCATTAAAAATCCCAGGGCATTTCTCAAACAGTGTAGGGGCGTTACCCAGACGTTCTAGGCATGGTTTAAATGAAAGTAGAAATCCAAGGTTAGGATAATAATGAGGAGGAGAGACAGGATGGTTTCCTCTTTCCCAGAAGGGGACTCGGTTATCAAGGTCATCGTTTTCAAATCCTATAGGGGATTTGGGGTTTCCCTGTGAGATTGGTTATAGCTGCAAATCCCGAAAGGGGTGTGGGTTGTTGGGAAGTGAGACCCCATGGTGACTGAGGAAGGAAGAATGTTCCTTTGTTATAAATCCACTGTATGCACTGATGCTGCTGTTTGGGATCCTGTAACCTAGACGTCCATGAGCTACGGCTTATAGAATGACACAGTGGGTAAGTCTTCAAAAATGGTTGCCTGGACACACTCCCTGAGTGAGTTGCCAGAGGAAAAGGAGTCCTGGCCTCACAGGCTCTCTGAGAGTTTCCCTCTCAGAGAAGGGTTACATGACTAATAATTAAGGCCAGGCGGTGCACACAAAGCACATTAGGTTACACTCAGAAATCACCTGGTAGTTAAAATGTATATGTCTGCGGTCTGGGGTTATACAGTATGATGAAGGCAAATCTAATGGTAATGGTTATAGATCATGTTTTGCAGTTCAAGTTCAAGTTCAAGTTCAAGTTCAAGTGAATTGTCATTATACTCATGTACAGGTATATGGTATAACGAAATGCTATTTAGCTAGCTCTCGGACAATAAGTAGTACAAAGAAAAAAAACAACAACAATACAATCATGTAACAAAAGAAAGACAGGGACAACAGGCAGTGTGCAAAAAACAACAACAGGGAATGTGCAAAAACAACAACAGGCAATGTGCAAAACAACAAAAAGGTAACAGGTTATGTGCAAAAACATGCATCAACAGAATGAAATAAAGGGATAGAAATTATGGGGAGTGAGCTTTTGACATGTAGGTAGAGGTAGATTGACAATGTGTGTTTGAGTTTTTGGTTAGATCATAGGAGAGAGGTGGGGTGAGAGAGAGAGGCTGGGAGTTTAATAGTTTGATAGTGCGGGGGTAAAAACTGTCTCTGAGTCTGGTAGTCCGGGCCCGAATGCTCCAGTACCGTTTTCCAGATGGTAGCAGATCATACAGTGTGTAGCTGGGGTGTTTGGGGTCTTTGTTGATGCTAAGAGCTTTCCTCAAGCACCGTCTGTCATAAATGTCCTGTATAGATGGGAGGGCAACCCCAGTGATGGACTGGGCAGTTTTCATCACCCGCTGTAGGGCTTTGCAGTCAGCAGTACTGCAGTTGCCATACCAAACTGTGATGCAACCTATCAGTGTGCTTTCTGTAGTGCATCTGTAAAAGTTAGTGAGGATCTGGGGACATATCTTAGCCTTCTTCAACTATCTTAGGAAGTACAGGCGCTGATGCGCTTTCTTGATCAGACAGGTGGTGTTGAGAGACCATGTGAGGTCCTCGGTGATATGGACCGAGGTTATAGGTGATGGTTATGGTTTATGTGTGTGCTTTCAGAGTTACTAGTTGGTGTGTGATTACTGAAAGATTTATGTATATATAAATATATATATTTGATTATATGTTTATAACCCTAAGATTTATGGTTATGAAAATTATGGTTGGTGTGAAATTACCGAAATATATATGGATATAAATATCCTTCTGGTTACAGTATATGGAAATTTGTGGTTATACACTCCTACTACTCCCCTAAGGATATGGTGATTCTCAAGGTCTCACTGAAGACAGGGTATCCAGACCATGGAGAGAAACACAACGAGAGGACTGCACACGAGCAGGGGCCATGGCTACAAACCCCCCCCCCCCCCCTTAATATTTTTTGAGTGTGGTGAAGTTGATCATTTGAAGTGGAAGGCACACAGACACTGCCTAGATCAGGCTGTCCGTCCAAAGAGAGCCACTGGGCAAAGAGGAAATCGGTGCGGCTTGCAACTCTGAGGCCAATAGGGACTTTAAATGTGCTATACTGTTCAGTGGCTGAGATAAAAGAAAATATCCACAGGTCAACAATATCTAGGTCATACCACAAAGGCAGCTGGAACGGAAAAAAACATCTCGAATCCTGCAAGGGTTTTGCAACAAAGCACCCGTGTGATCATGCAAACATGTGGCAAATGGTTTTGTGGTCAAATATGACGAAAGTGGAACTTTTTGGTTTAAATGCAGTGTTGAATATGATAGAAACCCAACAATGTGGTATAAGGACACAGTCAACACCCAGTCAAAACCATCACTTCTGTCATGTATGATGGTGGCAGTGTTGCGTTGTGAAGAAAAATGTACCTTTCATTAGAGCAGTAATCCAAAGCACAATGCCAAAACTACACTAGTGCCCAGCAATTCTAACCACTGTGGCAATGTTCTCTCCACTACATATATATGAAAAAGAGAATGAGACATAGAATTATTTAATTTTGCATGTGTAAAAAATCAATATTTTTGAATCTGAAAATGTCCTTAAGTTCTGACTCGAACCCTATTGGAAATCTGTGGAAAGACTTGAAAACTGCTGTCTATAAGAGATCCCCAAGCAACTTGAGTGAGTTTGAGTTTGAGGTAGAACAACACAAAGCTGGTGTGCAAAGAGGCTTCTGGCTGTAATTGCTGCCAAAGATGCTTTCACCAAATACTGATTTTACAAGTCTGAATACACATGCAATCAACATATTTCATTATCTTCTCTTTTGTTTTTACCGACATTTACTGTAATTTATTTTGCATTAAGAATTCTTTACTTCAGCATTCCGGTTTTTAATAAAACGTTAAGTTTTAAAATTGTGTATGCATGCTTTTGCAGTGTCACAGATGCAACACCGTAGGAAGGGCCTTAGTACTTTTGCAAAGCACTGTAATTCACATAGACTGAGCCTTGAACATATAAAAACCTATGTCATACAGTATATTTTAATTGTATGTGAGGCTTTTGTACTCGGAAGCAGTCTTGATAAAGGAAAACAATTTTCTAAAGAAAATGCAAAGTGTAGCAAAAATCAATTTTAAAATGCTGTTTTCCTTAACAGGGAAAAGTAATGACTCTTTGGTATTTACAACAAATCCACATTAGACCTTTTGTGCACCTGAGAGAGTCATCATGAAGCAAGCTTTCTTTAACAGTGCAGTTAGGGCTGCATTTACAGTACTAAAAATAGATACTTCATTATCTCACAGCTGTGCTGAACACAGTGTAGGTCAGATTTCCTGGCAGTTCTACTTAGTAATTGAGCTCCAGCTTAAGTTATCACATTTACTGTGGCCTCCCAGCTATAGAACAGAGACAAAACTCCATTCAAGCCCAATGCCTGTTTAGAAATGCCATTTCCTGGTTGCAAGGGAGCCGGAGCCTATCCCAGCAAGCAACGGGCACAGGGCAATCCTGGGCAGGATGCCTGTCCACCACAGAGCAGAAACAGAGACACACACACACACACTCACATCTAGGACCAATTTTTGCAAAAGCTAATTAACCTACCGTACCAATGTGCCTTTGGATTGTAGGAGAAAACTGGAGCACCTAGAGAAAACCCAAGTGAACAAACAAACTCCACGCAGATACAGTAGCATCCCAAATCTGGAATTCAACCTAGGGCCCCAGCACTGTGAGGACAGAATGGTTAACCACTTCCAAATCCATTTAAAAGAATATTACACATAGAATTATTAAAGTTTGTATGTGTAAAAATGAACATTTTTGAATGTGCATTTAATGCACAGAGAATGATGCATTTCTAAAACAGTACTCATTAGGAAATGAAGTCTCTCCCTGGTTTGTGTGATTTTCATGAACAATTTTAAAATATCTGTCCACAGAGGTTACGTGACTGAGGAAATTGTGTGTAATGGGATTACAGAGAAAATCTGTGATTTCACAAACAAGTTGACACCTTTTGGGATGTACAAGTTCCAAGTGCGAGCAGAGCAAGGGGAGATGATCTCCAACTGGACGGAGACTGAAGAATTTTCTCTGGATCGCAAAAGTAAGCAATTTGTATCTGTACGTTTCTAGAGAAAGTAGGGAGAGAAGGTCCCCTGGTCAGTGGTCAGTACTGGGCTGAGAGACCTCCAAAGAATACATTATTTCTGCTTCTATTGGTGTTGCCAGACTAGCACCATTTCATTTGGACCAAAATCCAAGACAGTACCTCAGTATGGTGACTGGGGACACTGTACAAAACACTGCCTTTCGGATGAGATATTAAACAAAGATCCCTTCTACTTGGGTCATTTAAAATCCATTGATTCATAAGAATAGGGCATTAATCCTAGTGACTTGGATGTATTCCACTCTGGACTGAAGATGCAGTTTGTGACTTCTCTGCCTGATCTGTGTTGGCTGTTGGGGCAGACAAGTTTTTAAGTTACTTGCAAACTAAAAGTAGTAAATGTGAACACTTTTTCTGTATTGATCCTGTTACTACAGTTTGTCATCTAGGGAAGTAGTATAGAAGTGTGTGGGAACTTAGCTACTATTTTGCTTTTCATGAATTTACAAGTTTGTTACATTCTCTTTAGCGCATTAACAACCCCCTTCTCTCTGTAGCTTCTATCGGACCTCCCTCACATGTGGGCTTAAGCTCTCGAGAAGGCATTTTGGAGGTGTCCATACAGGACCCTGTGATGAAGATGGAAGACAGGTCATTGAATTATGTATACAACATAGTTTCCTTCTTCATTAAGTATTGGAAGCATGGCGAAGAGCACAAGGTAAGGTATCTTTATTTTTCATGAATACCTTATGTTTTCTGAAAAGGTAAAGGCATGCAATGGTGTTAGTTAAATTCAAAATCACCAGCTTTTTTAAAATGGAATCATTCCCTTCAGTAATTTAAGGGTTCAGTTCTGTTCAGATGATGAATGATCCAGATCAGATTCTGTTATGCACAGCTATGGACAATACTCATAATTCTGGACAGTGTACTCCAAGTCCTTTTCTTGACTCACATTTTTCTGTTTGTGGATTTGGCTTTTGAATTGCTGGTGGGTCAGTCAGTCTGATTTTATTCCAAAGTATACTTCAGTTCTTTGTATTTGCCCTGTGGTAAGCTGCTTTACAGAAAAAAAAGTAATCAAATTCTGACACAGATGGATCACAGCTACAAATAATCAATCACCTTTAGTCAAATCTGGTTAAAACAGATTTTTCTCTGTACTTTGTAGAGTGGAATTGAACTCTGTGATTGATTTGTGTCAGATGACAGCTGCAGCTGTTTTTTTAGCATTAAAATGCTCACAATCTTTTTGTCTATAAAAAATGCTTTTGAACTTTGCTTTCATTAGCATTACCACAAAACCAATTAAGGGTGAGGTGTATGCTAAAGCATTGCTTTTCTTTCCATTTTTAAATAGTCCATATTTTCTGGGCTCCTGTGTGGTAAATTAAATATAAAAGCTGAATCTTTAACATCTTCCTTCTTCTTACTTCCCCTTACTCAAGTGTCCCCATTTGGCTTGAACTCTTTCCCGTTTGTCACATCACATTATTTTAATACAGAGACGTTGGATGCACACTTAAAATTATTTTACTGCCTCTACAGTGTGTCTGGATGAGGATAGACAGTAACATGTTTTCTAATCTCAGGATCAGCATTAAAACTAATATTGTATAGGCATATACTGTAAGTACTGCCATCGAGTCAAACTGATATGTTAGACTCAGTTGACAATGACTGAGAAGAGATTCTGAAGTTTTTTAACCACAGGTTGAAAATGAGGGTTTGTTTACAGACTATTAAACTGCTATTTTTTCTTTTTCAGAAAAGCCTTCAGCAGAATTGCTAGATAACGTCTGTAAAAGAGTTATACTTCCAAATAAACAGCCTGTCTTTCTTTGATCTGAAGCAGAAGAGCAATATCCCATTCTGCACAGAACCCCTTCTTCTTTCCTAGTCTTTCCTTCTATTTCTCAAAATGTGTGTATGATTTGTTTTCCTCAGGCTGTGACCAAAAAATATGACCAGAAAACCGTTGTTCTGTCAGAACTGGAACCTCAGGCACAATACTGTGTTCAGGTTGAGGTCTATCTTGATGTGTACGACAAGAGAGGGGAGCCCAGTCAGCCAGTGTGCATAAAAAACACCAGCAATGGTAAAGCCAATCTTTATGTAGAGACCCAATGTTTATTGAGCTTACTTTTATAGCATTCTCTGTTACCCTGACACTTTGAAATAAATGCCTGTAATCTTGTAGAATTGATTTTTAGTGCTATAGATTTAAGAGTGATTTGGGGCGGGGGGGGGGGTGGGGTTAAAGAGGGGTTTCTTGAGAAGTGCTCTTTCCTTCACATACTACTTCTGTTAACCACCCATGCTCCTCCTAAGATAGATTTACTCATCTAGTCTAGCTTGATTAAACTTGACTAGGCTCTTGCTGTCACGATTGTAATCCCTCCCTTTTAAGAGCGCTCTGGCTCTTTCACATTTTAGTTGATTTTGCCCCCTGTTCCAGCCCTTCCCTACCAGATGCTCCCACCATTCCTGGCCCGCCTACCACCGAGTCGCCCTACGTCTGCGGCTCGAAGGCTTAGGCCTCCTATCGGCATCCTGAACCAGCCGAGTTCGGGACTTGGAGCACCTGGTCCCGTTACCCCTTTTATCTTCCCGACCCTTCACCAGATCCCGCTCCAGTTTTTAACTTTTGTCATCTCTGTCTTGGATTGGATTACCTGGCTCTGGACTTTGCTTACTCTGGATATCCCTACAGACTCCCTCTGTCGCATGGACCACAGCCCCCATCCCCCCCGAGCACCAGTTGACTCCCTTCCGGACTCTGCCGTCTGCACAGGGTCCTGAAAGACGCATCGTGACACTTGCTTTGTGTTACCTTTTTATACTCTGCTGTGAGAGTGGCTGGAATTCTGCATGAGCATCCTATCCTTCAGTTCTCACTTGAAATTCCTGGATTTAAACTAGCTCACTGTTCCCCTCTTGTGATTTAACCCAACATTGCAATTTCTTTTGCTGCCGACTTCACGATAGACAGTTGAATACTCTGCTCTTCTTTGTGATATTGTTTTCTTGAAGCTGGGGCGTTATAGTCCTATTACTGTTTTGTCTGGAGTTGTCCTACTGGAAATCTGACATTTGGATTAGCTTGCTAACAGAAATCGAAAAGCTCAGATCATCTCAGGCCTGTAGAAGATGGCAATCTTGTATCTCATCTGTCAATTATGACCTTTTAATGGCATTCCAGCATGCAGACCACTTTTTATGCAGATGGAAACCTTCACTCTGATGGTGCGTGGGTTATAGTTTTCTGGATTTAATTTTCATTCATTAAGTGAGCCATAGTCCTAAATTGCAAAGGGATGATCATCCTATGTTTGCCTATTTTGCATTACTTAAGCACCTTTTTGTGTCTTTGAATGATTATTATGGATTCTACAATCATCTGGGCAACTTTAACTCAAATCATTTATCAAATACTTAATAACATATACCTTATGAGAACACATGTCTTCAGCTCAGTATCTTGTTATCTCTGGAACAAAAGTGTTCTATCAACAAACCTATCCACTGACTTTTTAAAATGTGAATAAAATAATGTATGTTCCCAATGAGCTATTATTGTGCTACTTGCAAGATACAGTAACAGTCCTACCACTGTGATATTCAGAGTCTTCAAAACTTCTTTAAGGACTCAGTCCTTTCCAATCCAAATCTTAAAATCAGAGTACATCCGCAGGTTAACAGCTTGATAAAACACTTTTTACTTCAAACAACTCAGTAAAATGGCTTTATCCCAAATTAGCAGGGCTGGAGTCTCTGTTGCTTCTCTCTGTGCTGAGTGTGGCTACATTCAGTTTGTGTTTTCATTTGCAGGGAAGACTCCGCAGTGGCTAATAGCAGTGTTGCTGATTGGCAGTTTTGCTGTGAGTGCTGGGCTAGTGGTCCTCTTCTTCACTGTTGGGGTGAATATCTACAGAATGATGCACTTTGCCTTTCCTTCTTGCAAACTCCCAGAGCACTTCAAACAGGTAAATCTGAGTTCACTTCCGGCCAGCATCTCCTATAATGTATTAGTTGTCTCGGTTTCTTCATTAATATGAACAGGAAGGGTGAAAAACAAACTGCTGTTATCATAATGTGTTAATTGTGTGTTCTAAAAAGTAGTTGTGCTACTCTAAAACACAAACCAGAGGACATGCATATAATACCAAGAACAGGAGGCACTCCTTTGTGCAAAAGGTTGTAGGAGTCTGGAACAAGCTACTCAGCCACGTTGTTGAAGCCAATTTCCTGATTTGTTTCAAGGCAGGGCTAAATGTCCACTAGAGGGATTGATCTGCTTGATTTCTAAAATCAATGTAAAGATCAGAAACCTTGTAGTCTAATTGAACAGATGAGTCTATATGGGAGAAAGAGATTTTCTGCTGTGTGCAGTTAATGCTGAGAATCTGGAAAGAATGTTAATGGGGTGCCTAGTTCAGTTTTGTAAAAGCCTGAAGAATACAGTTCCTGTCAGTAATGTGGAGGAGTTTAAACAGTAAATGTTGTTAACATGTCTTTCCTTGTGCTGGAGTCATTTTAATTCCTTTAGGCTCTCATACAATCTATAGGCTTGTCTGAAGCAAAGGAAGCTTCCTGTCCAAATGTAACAAGACTATCAGTTTCTATACTTTCTGATAGGCCTCTTATATCAAGGCAAACCTTAAGGATCTCTGTCTTCTCATTCAGTCAGGTGAAAATTAGTCTTACTTTCTCCTTCATTGCCTGATGCTGTTGTTATTCTGTTTTTCTACAGCTTGGATGATGGTTGTTGTTTTGGTAATCTTGTCCTCCAGCTGCCTGAATGTTAGACTGAGTGATTACCAGTGTGCTAATACAGAGCACAATGTACTGTAAACCCTCTGAAAGAAAACAGCTCTTCTGATGTATTGGTGTCTCCTTTTTTATTCATGCCATTGATTTTTTTTCTTTATAGAGAATCCATTATTCCACAGAGGCTGAGAATCACCTTTTGCGTCTCAGGAGATGACACATCTTGTAAAACATTCAAATCGATTATAGTTACATTGAGAAAAACAAGCAAATAACAGCTCTGTGCTGAACTTTCTGTAAAAGGATTGTTTGCCACTTTAGATAGAAGTGTCTGCCTAATGAATGTTTGCGTAGAACAATCTTTGAGTAATGAGGGATTTTGACATTTGAGAGCACCTCAACAACTCAGTAGATCTCGGTAGACCCACAAGACATCCTCCTCCAGAATTTCTAAAACCTTTGAACCTGCTTTTAAATATGTTAGAGTGATTTATGTTTTGTATTTTTTTGTTTAAGTTTTGATATGAGCCAATTTTGGATTCCATAAGAAACGGAGAATTTGCATTGAGGTGGTCAAAATAACCAAATCTTCTTCAGGTCTGAGCACAACAGCGGCACCCTGTGGCTTGTGAGATGTCGCTGAAATCGTTAAAAACTCCAGTGCTGTCAAAGGGTCTAAGAAAACTTGACATCTACCTTGCTTTGTGAATATTATAGTGCTAATTCATTTGTTAATTATCAGATGGCTTTCTAAAAATTAAAAGTATCACGAGAAAAACCAATTGCAATTCTAGCATTTAGAAATAGTTGACAGAACACATCAAAATTAATTGCCTTATTTGTTTTTTATGTTTTACAGTATTTGACAGATCCGCCACAATCCTATGTGTTTCTGGCTATGCTGAACAGCACGGAACCGGAGGAACTGTGCAGTGGAATCACCATTGTCTCAGAGGGAACAATGCCATTTGAGATGGGAGAGAAGGATCACAGGAACAAGGAGGACTCTGGGTAGGAGACAAACATTGTGGAAAATGAGGAAGGAGATAAAAAAGACTCCGTAAAGAAACTGATCTTTCAACTATGAATACCGGGATCCACCCTGTGGCTGGATTTGTCATTAAGTGGAATACAGCTCAAAGTGATTTGAATTTTGATAAAACTTGGATATTTATTTTGTAATTCTGGCATCAATGAAGCAGTTGTGTCTTTCTGAGTGGCATTATTCAGTACAGCTTTTGACCACATCATTTTTTGGGTATCTTTTTACATTGATTTGACAGGATTACATATACATATATGTACCCAAGGATGTTTTGCAGTTTTATTACCTGCCTGCATGACACTGTAGAGTTTGGCATTTTTAGTTGATGTGAGCTTCCACCCAGCATTTTATACATTCTAGCAAGAAAGTTTTTCTGCCTTGGATTCAGCACTACTGACAGCAGTATTTAGATCCGATCCTAACACTTACATGTTAGAGGTTGGAACAAGGAAAAATCTCTTACTACAACAGCAGTATCTTTAAAAAAAAGTTTCAAGTGAGTTCATTTGGATGTTAATTTCTTGAAATATCCCTAGTAATTGTTTAATTAAAATTTAAGACTAAAGATTTTGAATGATTTTTGGACTAAGCCTTTACACAACTTTGTTTTTTATTTATATTTCTCTGGAATATACCAATTGTTTTTATTGCATAGTTTATATAAAATACAATGATTGAAGTTGTTAACAAGAGACAATTATTCAGAATACTGTAAAAAAGTCATTTTTGTTTTATATACTATTGTACATTTAATGAATAAAGTTTAACTACATATGAAATGTACTTCTTTAATTTCAGATTTTGCCAAACAATTTGCTATCAATTAAAATAAGGAGCCTGTTGAAAACCAAAGTTGAAACACAAAATTTCCTGCAACCCCACTTTTTATTTTAGATATCACTGAACATGACAATATTTTCTCACAATCTGAGCAACATAACTGATTGTTTGCAGTGACAGTTTATCACAGTACTGGAACATTTTTTGAGTTTTTTGGAACACATTTAGAGAGAGTCACTTCACACAGCATCACCTTACATGGAGGAAAAGTCTTCCTTGTAATAACATTTTTCATTGCAGAATTATTATGGGTACTGAAAATGGTACCTAGTTCGAAAAACTAAAACTCAGAGAACTTAATTTTGTTATTAATAGACTGTCAGTGGGTTCCTTTCTGCTCTGAGTGACAACTGAAAATAGTTATAGTATCTCAAAACACTTATGGGTCAAACACGGAAGGACAGTGGCATTTGTTAGAGGTAATTGAACTCATCTGAGTGCCAGTGGCTTCAACGTGTAGTGGTCTGTCTCATTGGAACAGCAACCCACTGACATTTCAGCCCCTTTCAGGAAAACCAAAATGCAAATACAACAAACTCATTGTTTTACTTTAGCTTCCTGTTTTCAGCAGAAAGGTGTAAAGAAAGATGTAAAGAAAGCAGCTGTTGGTTCTCAGAGTGTGTGTGGGGGGGAGGTGACAAGATTTGATTTTCGATATAGATGATTCTGGTTGGGTTTTAGAGGGGAGCTTTAAGATGTAAATTTCCAGAAAGCTTTATCTCTGCGTGCAAGGGAGTATTTTTACACCTTATCCCTGTTAATGAAAATTGTGGCTTTTTAGTATATATTTTTTTCTGTCCATGAGTCCTAAACATCCCCCATATCAAAACAAATTTTACCAACATAGTGCTTTGTTAAGGACTCGACATAAAGCTCTCACCCTCTGACTGGCAACATGCAGAGGTAGCATTACTGTGTGTACAAAATCCAGGAGGTAAGAGTAGCTGGTGGTAGAAGTGAAGCTTTCACAAGTCAGTTCTTTTTCCCCTTCATAAATATCCCTAAATCTTTTGTTTGTGTAACAGAGCTCATATGTTACGTAGCTGTGGGTGAGTTGCAGGCTCTGATTCCCCTGGCAAACTACTAGTAATAAACCTGGTATCTGAAGAATAGTCTCCTTTGAGCAGGAAGAAGAAACCAGAAATGATCAGTGGACGCCCCCCATCAACTATGTGGATGGCACTTTGTAATTTGTTGAAATTTAACATGGCCCTGTGCCTGGGGGTTGCTCTTCTAAAGTCTCCTGTAAGCTGTAATTTCTAACAAATTGTCTAGGATCTCTCTCAACCCTTCAGTGCCCACCTTTTTTACTCTGTTAACATCACCGTCTATCTCTTAAAGCCTTTAATTTTATATATAGCATACATACATCCATTTATTTTTAATCCGCTTCTTCCAATTCAGGGTTATGGGGATAAAGGATTGTATCTCTGTAAGTGCCTAGCATACAATTGGCCATAATTATTTAACAGGATACAAATACATATGTCTGAATATACTGTTAAATAATTCATCTCTATATCACCTACAAAAAAATGGTTTAGATGGTGTTACAAGGTACAGTAGGTTAACCACGCAGGGGAACACTCTATCTTTGCTCTAAGCACTTGTTCCTGAATTCTAGAACGGGTGACCTCACCTTCAGTACACTTATTGTTTTAGAATTCACTCATCCTATTGATATAGAACCATGTGTTCTAAAAAAACTTCCTATAGAGCTCCTCCGTCCATGACAGTAGCTGTTTAAATAACATACAGTACTTGAGATTTTTTCCATGCAATACCTAGCATCCTGATACCTTCTTTATAAAGGTAACCTTTAACTCCTGATAAGAGTTGTGTCTGGATACCTTTCATCCCCTTCCAGGCAAATTATTTCACCTATCCATCCATTTTCAGTTTTGTTCTTAGTGAACTGAAGTGAGCAGTACTTGGCACAAGATCGGATTACACCAAAGATTAGATTCCAGTCCATCACATGTCCCATCACGTCATACACTCACAAATAGAGGAGACAGAAGCTTATTGTTTAAATAAAAAACGCATATTTTAAACTTTGTGTTTCTTGTGATATTTGGAGCAGTAATCAGGGATGTCAGCTGTAAAAAAAATAATTCCTTTTGTATATTTGAAATTGAAAGTGAAGGGCACACTGCACTCCTTGCGAACCTGCTGTGCAGAAAGGAAGAAGCAAGGAATACAGTGAAACAGATTCAGCTTTGCTGTGATAAATAATATCAGGATGTTAGATTAGATTTTTTAGAGCAGCTTAAGTGTATATTAAAAAATGCTGTCTTAAAAGTGAACTCCTATACTGTGATTTAGACCCATGTGTTTATTCACCTGTTGCTGAGTTTTGGTGACTGGTCGAAGTCACTTGTATGACACTTAAAGAGGCTTTGGAGACAAAATGTTTTATGATAAAACATCATTGTTGATTTCAGAGAATGTAAAAAGTCCTTCTTGAAAGTACTCTGGTCACATGCCCCTTATCCATCACCGATTTATAATGTCAAAATTTGTGAAACTGCTAATTGTTCTGTTATGTAAAGTAAAATGTTTAAGCATAGACCTTAAATCAATTGACAGATTTTACTTAAACAAACGATTAATAAAAATAAACTCTAATGAAAAAAACATTTTGACATCTGTGATCTGTGGCAGAGTCAGAGTTTCTTTTTAGATTACTAATTACTCTTATATTTGAAGAGTTTTTTTTTATTTCAAAGGATCCCAAATGTTTCACATAAGGGAGGAGACCTATTTCATCCACCTGATCCCACAGGATCTCAGCCCCCCAGCTACGCAGCAAATCAGTGGGAGAATTGAGAAATTGCTTTACCAATTGATTTAAGTTAGAACATTAAGATGACCAGTGTGCAGAATTTATCAAACACAGTGAGCTTTACATCCCTACTCTAATGACAAAGTAGTCAGGACTTTAGTTCCACTCCTCATTCAAAGGACAGTACCTCCTACAGCACAATGGTTTGGAAATTGTGATCCAGAGGAAAGACTGTACCTGTGTCATAATTTGAAGTGTTTTCCATGCTTTCTTCAGAGGTTGAAAACATTAAGATCGTTTCACAGCGTGTTCTAAATAATGTGAAATGTTTGAAATAATTCATAATCAAGTAACTGACAAAAGTAGGAGGTT